TATTATATAAGGCCTACTTGACTTGGACAGTCTCTACGGATGTGGCACATCAACCGACCCACTTCGTTTTACATAACTGATACGGAAATGTACAGAATTAAATAACGTCTACTCGAGTCCCGTCGACTATATTTCATTCTTTTTATTTCATTTCACTTCGGTAATATTTTTATTTATAAAGCAGATTTTACGTTTATTTGTTTGCACACGTTTATCAATCAACGAACGCCAGACCTCTGGTCAGAAATGACAATTGACTTTGCTGATCCGCGAAACATCAGCTGGCTGAAACAGAAATTGAGTTTGAAAGCGGGATTTCAGTTTCAGAGCGGGAATATCGAGAAATTGACTTCGGAAACAGGAAACGAAGATTAAAAAAGGGTAATTGAGTTTGAAGATGGTGAATTTGTTTGACGATTTTTTAGAGTAATGTTGAACGTAAAAACGGAACTCGTTTACGGAGTTTGTAAATGGAAATTGAATTTTATCGGAAATTGGCTGCGTCGGAATAGAGAGCAATTTTTCACGATAGCCAAGAAGAAAAATGCTGAACTGTAGAATGTGATGTGATGACTCTCGTTTTTCCAATATAACGGCTAACCCCAGGCGTCAAAATTTTACTCGAGTTGCTACACAGTACAAAGACGTCCACTGGTAATGAAAGTTTTAGTCGCTCACTATCCATTTAGATGTTTGACATAAGATAGAGCTACACGCCTAAGCCAATAGCTGCCGGCTTAGAAACTGTTTACTCTAGAAATCCTGTTCTTTCTATTATGTGTACGTGTGATCACACACACACACACACGCGCGCGCGCGCACACAGTGTAGCGTAACTCGGCGCCGCTTTGTAGTTATAATGTATACTTTCGCGGTGAAGCTTTCACGACAGTTCTATCGATGATAAAATGGTCGTCTACTACACTTATCTTTTCGACACAGCGCTTGCTGAATGTCGCTAATCAACCCCCTGACGGTACTGTCAGCATGTCGCACGCGCGTGCGCGCGTGTGTGCAAGAGTGCTGTCAGTGGTTAGCTTTGATACTTCACGAAAATGTAATGCTTCGCCACTCGTGCCGAAATGTTTGCAGTATATGTCTAGTGAAAACAACCCGACATCGCTAAGGAACACGCGTCTAGAACACACTATAAAATCATGCACACCATGAAGCGCCGTGCAAAGGTTGCGACATTTTAGACATCATTATCAATTTATCGATTCATCAATTTATCATTAATAATTACTATCCATGATAATTCTCAGACACACTGGTCCCTCGCGAACAGACAACAACTCACCCGCACTCACCCGCACACCTTGCGTGCGTTTTCTTTTGCAGATAATATCTTACGTGAACAATGTCTTCGAGCTGTGCACGGTGCAGTCCGTACAAGGGGAGGATGATGATGGATACAATCTATCGGAGCTGGTGACTGACGCCGTTGGCGATACCGCTTCCAACGGTACGCGCTCGTATATGTATCGCAACCTATTTTCTGACGCGAAAAGGTAAACACTAGCACAGCGCGCATAACCGATGACATAAACGCACGCACACATAGGTACACATGCATGTACGCACACATAGGTAGGTACACATGCATGTACGCACGCACGCGCACACACGTATAAACACGCGCACGCGAACGCTCATACGTACACACACAAAATACAAACGCACCCACACGCACGCGCACGCACACACGCACGCGCACGCGCGGGTTAAACTTTCTCTTCAATTTAAATCGGAGTTTCACATAATATATTAAGCTTGCGATCTTATTTCCGTTTCGTTCTCACGCACTTCTTAACGAGACTCTATACGATCGATGTCCACTAATTCACAAATCAATCGCGTTATTTATTTCAGATTCACTTCGACGCTCTCACGGCAGGAAGCTACACGCAGATACACGCACGCTAAGTACGCTCTCACAGTACCTCTTAATCTCGACTAACAATATACCCATCGTAGCGGGTTATACACACGTATCGGTATTTCTCCGACGTGCTTTAGAATATAATAATTACAGCTGAGTGTTAAAGTATTTTAATCGCACGATCAATCATGTATATCGTTTAACGCTCTCTGGTGTGGGCCTATTCTAGTAATTTTTAAATGTTATTTTCGAATCGTCGTTCTTCGACTGAAGACATTAGATTAACAAATTGTTTATTATTATTATTATTATTATTATTATTATTATTAGCGAAACCTCTGTTTGTAGCGTCTCGTAGCTCGAAGAGCGTGGGGTCGTCCGATGATAAACTGCGCATTAAAGGTCAAATGAAGTTCATGCCAGACTGGGAAAGTATAGTGTTCTTGGGAACACCCATGTGAGTATTAAAACAGCGTGCGTTCTTTAGTTTTTTGAACTGCTGTAGACTAAGATTGTTTCACGTC